TGTAAGCTCACCTGAAAGCCTGCGTATTATTCCCACTTGACATGAACATATGTTCCTCTTCTTCTCCATAAAATTAGTTTTTATCTTATAAAGTTCATCGTAGCATATTATACACCTGCACCTTGAAAATGATAATTTTAACTCATTTATAAGAATGCATCGCTACGCTCACTCCTTGAAAATCCGCCATATTTTTTTTTATCAATTGTAGTTTTACCCAAGACGTCTGGGGTAAAAATTGCCACAGAGGTTGGTAGTAATTTTTACCCCCTAATTTGATTTACCTCATATTCTGTTTACTCCATCTTCAAGGTAAAGAAATTCTCCCATTTTTTGGTGTAATTATTACCCCAGAACACCAAAAACCGGGCAATTATTTTAGCCTTTTTTAATACCGTATGGGGTGAATTGTTATACCTTGATTTTGAATTACTCTAGAAATAGGGGTAATTATTATCCCACATTCCTTTACCCTATTGACAGAGTAAAAATTACCACAATTTGGGGTGATTTTTGCCCCTTGAATTTTACTGTGCATGTTTATACTAATATAAACGAATTACCATACTCCAGAATGTAGTCGATCATATACATTACATCCCTTCCTTTTTCAAATAAATAATCCTTAGCTATAACTATGTTTTCTAACAAAATAAGCGTAAATAGTATCTAATAAACTTCTAATGGATTAATTATTCTTTGAACAAAAATATTACCATTGAAATTTAAAATTATTGTGAAATTATTGTTACTATGATTATGCATAGTTCAGACGGTCTGGTTGTCTTTTAATTCTTGTGAACGTCTTAATGGCACATTTTCATCAGGACTGTCACTCGCCAGTTCTACCATACGTTTCCCCTCACCACGAACTTTCTTCCCACCTCCCGACGACATTTCTTTACTTACCTTTTCTTCTTGTTCTGGGATATCACTCTCTATGAATCTTGTCTTATGTGCTGAGTGAATATCGATGGCTTTAGTCCTAATAGGTATTTCCATTTATTCTTTTTCAATCTCTGTTTCTTGTTCATCGCTATTGCGTATGCTCTCTATGAATTTCTTACTATGTGATGTATTATGTGTGTAATGTCCTCCTTCATCTGATTGAAAAACTGAATTATTCCCATGTTTCTTCACAACGGTGAAAGGAATGGGATTAAATCTAGTCGCAAATTTATTGCGTTTTTCTTGCTGTACTAAAAACTTTATCTCATAAACAAATGTCTGAATGACTCGCCTTTCATCTTTTATCAGCGTAAATTTTACCTTTATTTTTTTACTCGTAATCACTATACCTCCTGTCTATGATGTATTTCCCAAAGTCCTGGCAAACGAGTTAGCATTTTTATTTGAACAATAACTCTGCAGGGCTCATATCTGTGGTTGGATGTGATAGACTGCGATAAGATGCCTTATATACATTCAGCTCCTTCTTTCGTTTTTTTTTTCTTGTGCTATCTGGATTCTCTTCGACAGTGTTTGGTTCTGTTGCTCTACTTCGCCGTTTGCTTAGGACCATTTTGCTGTAGCTCTTTGATATCGAATTTTTTGAAACTCTATGTAAGCTTTAAGTTCTGTTGATATAAATTGTGGTCCATTATCCAATGTAAGACTTTCTGATAGACCATGCTTAGAGTACATTCTTAGTGATAGCTGAATTTACAACAGTAAATTTCTAGTAACAACTATAATAACTAACCTCGACGAGTAAAGATTCCCTTGTGGGTAACGGTCCTAGCAAGTCAATGGCTAGATCTCTCCATGTGCCTCTAGGGAGGCTAGTTGTTCTAATAGGTTCTGCACAGTCTGGACGACTTAGAAGCTGACACCCTTTCCCAGATAAAATGATACCCACAAAGATCAAACGACTCGTGCTGTATTAACATTTTTCGATGTTAAGGGTTAGACTACCATCTCTTTATCTTATTACGCCATTTTCTAATCGCGTATTATGTTCTTTGTTTCGCCCGTGTATTATAATATGATCAGATATTTTTTTCCTGACGTTCTAATCCCGCTAGCACTCGCTCTATTATATGTTGATATTGTTGTGATGCATAATTAACACCAAAAAATAGTACTTTATATACCTGTGTAAGCCGCAGTCGGTGAAAAATGGCGTAGTTTCTCTTGATTCAGTATTTAGCTCCAACTGAGATAACCCCATTTCAAATAAGCTTACTAAATACACTACTATCACTCATACTCTGTATAATTTTATCAATGGTGGGAATCGGTTGTCTTTCCCGCAAATAGCTTTATTTCCTCTGCGCATATCAATTAACACGCAGTTTTATTTGCCTTCACGATTTAGGAACTATTATTATAGGGTTAACCCACGAAGTTGGACCTTTCACTGGTGCAATAATATCTAAGTCCGTATGCTGTTTAATTTTCTCTTCCACTTTCGATCTCAGACTAAATGGTATTCTTCTGTTTGGCTGAGCCACTGGTTTTACCCCCGAGTCAATATGAAGTTGTATTGTATAATCTTTCAACTTACCAACACCTTTGAAGACCTTTGGATGTTTCAACTGCATCCTTTCACCTACATCCTTCGATTCCAGCTTGACTAAAGCAACGTCAATACCCATTTTGAGAAATCACAGCTTTATAGCTGTATCTTTGCAGTGGACTAAGAAATGATTCTCCTTTCTCAGAATCAACACAAGCTTCGGCTTCAGTTGTCTGATGCCCGGTAGAAATATGACGTTCAAGTGTTCTAATTATTTCCAGTGGTGTTTGTGAGACATACGCGTAAAGTGTTTTCCTTAACTGAGATGACGTTGATAATATTTAATTGACATCCATCATTCGTAATATTTATTTCTTCTGGTTTGGTTGTTCCAACAAAAATGCATAAACTGGATAATCTTCTTGCGGATTGACCGCGTTCACAGCTCTTTATACTTGTTGATATCTTCAGTTGTTTCTTGGCTACTTCCTTTTTTCTAGCCTTACATTTCTTTCAAAGTGATCTTTCGACCTGCATTTCTTTGGACTTCGCCTAATCGTAAAAATTTGTCGTGTACACCTGTTCTTGCCAAATGTAGTAATAACGCTCGTCTTCTCTGTTTTATCTCCAGCAATGATCAACCCTTTTCTGTCAGCTTACAATTCAAAGCCAGAGAACCATCGTTTTCATGTTAACCTAAGTGCTTCAGGATCTCGCAAACAGTCACACGTTTTGATGCTGTTTAAGTCGTTTTTTTCCACGTATTTTTGATTGTTTTTTCTAATTGAACTCTTCTATGAGTATTATTAATATTTGTCGCCAATCTAGGCATGTGCTCACATACCCATTTAGTAGAGTTACATCTCATTACTTCTTGAACAAAATTTTGATTCCTATAGATTGAAAAATAAAATATATTTCATAATAGCCTTTCTTATCAAAGTACTCTGAAGTTTTCTGAAGGCCTTATATTTGTACTAATATTAACTAGTTTCCATACTCTAGAATATGGTCAATCGTATACATTGCAATTATATATATATAATAAAAGGATTAATATATTGCAATTATTTCAGTATTAACTTTTTTCTTCTGTGCTTACTGGAGTTTTCCTTGCTGCATGTGTACAACAGGCTCTACATTCAGCTTTAGTTTAAATGCAATTTCTCCTTTGACACAATCTTCTCCCATAATCAAATTTTTAAGTTCGAGCAATTAACTGATAAGTTTAACTCAAAGTTTTTAGTCCACCAGCTAAAAGAAAAGTCTCTACCAACTTTCAAACTTAGTGAGTAAAGTGCAAATATATTCACTTGGTAAAATTCTAGAACGCCAATGCTATTCTTGTCACGACATTTAAAATTACAGCAACCCGAAACTTTGATCTTAGGCTGCGTTTACAAGGTACCGGATAAGTTTTATTCCGGATTAAATTTGTGAAGGATCCGTTCTGTGTACGCAGAACTGGTACATTTATGAGAGAAATAAAAGTTTCGAGTACCGCGCATGTGCATTTATAGCATGAAAGTAAAATGGCTACCGTTGCTAAAAGGAAAAAATCGTCCGATTCAGAAGAAAAGAATTTTACTTGGTCGGACGAGGAGATGTCTCTTCTTCTTGATGTGATTGCTGCGTATAATGTGAATAAAGAAAATGAAGGTGTAGACTGGGAGTCTGTTAAATCGAAATACGATGAAATTTGCGAGAGATTCTTTGAGCGTTATCCCATAGAAAATTCAGGAGAATTTCCACATGTTAATGATACGATTTCAAGCGTTCTTACCAAAAGTCGAATAATAGCTAAAATCAAAAGATTTAAACTTTGTTTTCGAAAAGCAATTGATTCTGGAGGACGCAGCGGAGGCGGTAGAGTTGTAGCTTTTTTATACGATGAATGTGCTAGTATTTGGTGTGGGAGCCCAGCAGTAAAACGATTTCGAATGCTCGAGAAAGCGTACCAAGCACATCCGAAACTGTCCGTGATTCCGAAGACTCCCTTTCTGGAGTATCAAATACATTGTATTTTCAGTTTTCTGATGTAAGCAGTGAAACACTCGACAATCCTGCTCAACAAGAGATTTTAAATGCTGATGCAATAAGGAGAGTAAGTGAAGCTAGAAGGAATCTCATCTCGAAAGTACAACAGAAGAAAAATTCAAAGTTATATAAGAAAATACCTGCTGAGAAACAGATGATAGCCATGGCAAGGGAAGATTTAAGTCTTAAGAACAGGATTGTGGAACAAATGGAAAAAGCTGAACAGAAGCACCAAGAAAGCATGACTGCTTTTGCCAAAGGAGTTCCATCACCTAATGATACACTAAGTCATGGGTTTGCATTGCTTGCAGCCCTTCAACAGCAACCAAATCAATTTAACTTTCCAAACTTTCAACAATGGAGATACCAACAAGCTGCTATGTCAACTAATAACAATGGCGAGTCTAGCCATGGTAATGCCAATGATAATTTTATACCGTTTTCAAAGTCATAGAACCAGGATTTCTATTCTTTTAAAAGGTATAGTTCAACATACATCTGTTAGTTTTGGGTTGCCATTGTTTAATCTAATGTAATTGCTTAAATATTGCACAAAAACTATTGTTATAAATATACTTTTTATACAAAGTACTTATATAATTTTAAACAGTTTTAAATTGCCTTTTTTTTGTCGTTTTATTCCAAAGTAAGGGATTATTGTATGTACGAAAACAATTAAATCATCTTTGTACAAGTATATTAGTATCATTAACGTCTGTTCAATGTATAAAATGTTTCTAGATACAATCTCTAATCGAAATACTGCATGCACAAAAATGTTTCTTACTGCCTTTGCTGAAGCCTCACATCCTTGGTTCCGTACACTTGAAGCTGCAGGTTGAAGTTCTCTGTCATAAGCTATTGCATTGTCCACTCTTTCATTAGCTATTATCTCAACATTCATTTCACAATAACTGTGCAAGACAAAACAGCTTTAAATAACATTTGGCAAATCAGCAGGGTTTATGTCCATTTCGCGCTTCAGACACCCAAATCTACTCTTCAGGCGTCCAAAGGCACATTCAATAATCATTCTGGCTGAACAAAGTCGCCACCCAAGAAATTATTCCTATGCAGTCTTGCCCCCACCAGGGAATTCCTTCATCAAATAAGGGAATATAGGATATGCTGGATCTCCAAGAATGCAAATTCCAACAGGTTCAGTGCCTGGCAACAAGGCTCTTTGCAAACTGGGAATTGCACCTTCTTTTAACATCTCATTTACTTTTGAGTTACAAAGTGTCCTTGAATCATGCACACTCCCTGGCCATTTGACCACAACATCTAGAAAACAATACTTGTAGTCTGCAATAGCTTGCACATTCAGAGAATATCTATCCTTCCTATTGATAAAATCAGTTGCATTGTTGGCTGGTTGTTTAATGAAGGTATGAGTGCCATCTACAGCACCAATACATTGTGGAAAGCCGTGTTTTTCATAAAAATTTGAGACAGCTTTAAATACATCATGTTCTGTTTAAGGTAATCTGATGTACTCATGACCTAATACAGTGGAAATTACAAAACATACTCTTGTAATAGCCAACAATACAGTTGATCTGGAAACGCCAAATGCATTTGCAACTTTTCGTAATCTTCCTTCATCAGCAAGATAGTATAAAGTCATAGCAACTTGCTTCTCAACAGATGTAGGAACACGCATATTTGTGACTTTCTTTTGAAGTGGGATTCTGATTTTGTTGCACAGTTGCATGAAATTGTATTGTGACATCTTGAAGTCTTCTCTCCATTCATGACCTACTACAGGACCGGATAAGAATTTTTTCTACCACAGAGATGTTCTCCCAGGTCTCACGCAATATCCTTTTGCCTTTCCTTTACTTTTTATTTTCATCCCTCTAGCGATGGATAACTGTGTCAGCAATGTAGCATACCTTAAAAATAAAATTGAACGTCATTTTGAAAATAAATGAAGCAAACTTTTGAGTGAATAAGCCAGTAAGTTTTGCCATAATATGTGTGGATTACAATACTGCGTTATTTATTTTCTGCCATAAATTCAAAACACATGCTGCATTTTAGATGCAAAGAACGACATATTTCCGTTTGTCATCAAGCGTTTACCTTTGTCTTTGCCCTCAATAATTTACCAAATTTACCAACGCCAGTTCATAAACAACGTCGCCACAGCACAAAAAATAAATGCAAAAATGCTCATAAGAATCTATCTCATGTTGGAAAATGCAGTATTACAAAATTGTGTATCGTTTTATCTGATAGTTTTCTCTATAGTTTTCTTGCATAAAAATTTCAGAAGTTGAGTTATGGCACGGTTTTGTAATATTTTTGTTGTTATAACAAGTCCGACAAAAACCCTACCTTTCTTTTTTTTGAGACCGGTCTTTTCACGGATTCCTGTCACACAATGTGCAGGCCGAAGCGTGGAAGATACGAATTCGTATGGACAGCTTTGAACCTTTGAATTATTGTTATGTGTTCAGCAGGCATTTTGCCTCAGAAGAATGTACCACTGGCTCGAAAGATACCCCTTTCATTTTCAAAAGCCAAGTCTAAAACGGGGAACATAACCTAGTTTACTTTATAAGATGAAAAAATTGATGAAAAATTTTTTTGAAAAACCAAGACAGCCGCGAAGATTTTTGAGCCTTAGGCATTGGAATTTATTACTGAATTGAACTTAAAATTTAAAACTTGTAGTGTAATTCTTATTTTATTCAAGCGATTACTTTGACAAATGTTAATGTCCTCAAAAACAAGGTATTTCCATTTTCGAAGCAACGTATTGTATGAACTAATGTATCGTTTTGAATGGAAAAATGCAATCCAAGATTGGTAACGTTTCTACAAAACGACAACCAAGTTTTCCACTGGAAAATATAATCCATGGGTATGCAAAATTAAAGTAATTTTGTTGCTTAACAGACCAACATGGAAGTGCGATGGAATGAATAGATGGAGAAAAATGTTCACTTGAGTTTGGAAATTCATTGGAGGCATTGTTCACCACAGGCTCCTGTGTGTATTCATTAAATGTCCTCAGCTCAATCTCCGCTTCCGAGCTGTTGCTCTCGGTGATTTCAACCATTGCCATATGCTTGCCTCTTAGAAATTTGGCAATAAAACCAAATGAGTCTAGAACATTTTGTGCTCTTTCATTCTAAAGCTAACTTAACAGCTTTTCAGAAATTATAAAGTTATTAAATTGCACAACCGGTATCTAATTCATTTCATGAAAAGAGATAAGAAGCAAAAAATTGTAGCAACCCTTTGAAAAGTTTTCTATTTTTTTAAAAAAGCAGGAAATAAAGAAAATGGCTAATGCCCATTCTGTGGTCTAATTGGTAAATACCTCAAATATGTTTTTTAAAACAAAACCTTACGGTTTCTTTATACAGTCGTTTCTTTATACTAACGTAGATACACTGAATAAAAAGAGCATGGTCTTTTCTGCGTCAAGGAAAATGTTTTTTAATTAGATTGGTATAATTTAGTAAATCCATTCAAATCAATTTTCAAATATAAGAAAAATTTCTTTACACTTGAGTAAAGATTTATGATTTTCTTTATAGTTATTAAGAAATATGTATTTGATAAGTCGCGATAGATTTTCTTTCAATCGAAAACTTTATATCTTAATCAATTAACGTGGCTCTTTTTCTTGTTTGTGTTTTTTTAAACCTTTTATAGAAATCAAGAGGTAATGAAGATTAAATATAATTTTCAAAGTAGAATTTTTGACCGCCAGAATATGTCAATGCATTCTTTTTGTTGACAGCAACTCCCAGACCCCTTGCTTCCACCACTCTAACCGAACCGATGTTCCGTGAAAAATGCAAATAACTTTGACCTTTGTGTGCGGAAGAACAATTCACGCCTTGCATGTACTTCATCACATTCATTGCACAAAGTCTGACATGCATCAAGCGCTTAAATACGATGTCTTTGACCTTGCAAAATATAATTTAAAATGGCACAAACCTTCAATCACAAGGCACAAATTATTAAATCATACTCATGGCGGAAGGAGGTTAGGAAGCTTATTGGAGGTAAATCTATCAGCAGAAAAGCGAAGACTTTCATAAAACTGTAAGGATTGAAAAACATCTTACACAAACAATGAAAGTAGATTTTGCAAGAGAGATGAATGATTCTTGTCTCTTTTCAATGTCGGAGTTCACTCCTCTTATCTTGAAGTACTTTCGAGTAAGACCTGTTGTTACGTGTTACGTGGTTTATCTAAATATCCTTCTGTTTTGGTCATTCTGAAGTCACTATATGACCTTATTAGCACGATGCTTATTATATATTTAAAGAAACGACAGTAGTTTTCAGTTTTACACAAATAAAATTATAAAACAGGAAAATTTTCTCATTTATTTAAAATGTATGTTATTGTAGTTGCTTTTACAAACCTGTTAACGCTTAACTCAAGAAACGCGCGCGTCTGTGATGGAACTCCATCAAGGGTACTAAAAGAGAACGCTGATGTTTTAGTATTCTTTGTCAAAAAAATCCCACACTGTTTTTACCGTAAATGCTGTGTCTAAAACAAGTAGTACATGTATTTTAGGGTTTGTTACCGGCTGTTTGACTTTTGTGTAATCTAAAACTTATTTAATATTGAGAACACCGTCTTATTGTGAAAGAGTGAAATGTGTATTTAAACAGTCAACGCTATGGAGATATCGGTACCTTGTTTACTACTTCACTAAGAGATAGAGCTACACCTTTTTAGCAGTTTTTGGTTATTTTAAAACTACTTAATTGCCGTTGAATGATGCACGGTGCGTCACTTTTTTGCGTTGCCATTTGTAGTACGTTTTGTGTGTCTCATTTTTTGCATGTTGCTACAGTTGTTTCAAGTAATTCAAAATAAAACAAATTCAGAAAGAGGGACATCTCGTTTTCTTGATATTCTTGATAGTACAAGAGTTTGAAACAAAAGATGGTGTAATATTTCGTCTTTATTCCAAAGACATCATCCGACTTATGATCTGATTCCAAAGACATCATCAGACTTATAAGTACAAAAGTACAAACTTTTATGTCTGATGATGTCTTTTGAATAAAGACGAAATATTACACCATCTTTTGTTTCAAACTCTTGTACTATCTTGAATATCAAGAAAACGAGATGTCCCTTTTCAGAATTTGTTTTATTTTGTACTACAATTGTTTTATGTTACAAATATTTTCCTTTCGTGAAAAATCTTGTTGTGAAGAAAAGTTTTCTCTATTTTCTTCACATATTGAGAAACAATCAAACAAATGTCTTTTTCATGCACGTAGCTCTAAAGTTTTCACACCGAAATTCAAAAACCCAACACGGTTAAATATTTCTTAAAAATCTAGCAAAATTGGTAAAGTCGTTGGTAAAACCTAATTTTTTTTGTGTATAAATTTAGAGCTTCAAGGCACGTAGCGCGTCTCAACTCTCTGGTGCAATCTTTACAACTAGGAGCAAAAATATTAATAGTAGTTCTGGGAAAATACCTGTCCCCATTGAAGCTGTCTTGGAATCTGTAAAGATGGAGAAAACTTTAAACTCTGATTTTGGTATGTAAATAATTAGTAAAATTGCTACTATATCAAACGGGAAAAGAGGCTTCAACACGATATACTTTGGTACAACCATGTCAACAACAACGCCTACACAAACATTGGTTACAAGTTCCTTTCATTAATCGACAAGCATTTCCCACAGACCACAAACTTAAAAAAGTATTTAACCATAACACAAGCAAACTCAGGTTGAGCTTTATGAACAACATCGCAAACAAATAATCAAAAATAATAACAAACACATATTGAGAACATTTGACAACATTATAAAATTGTGCTCTGTGAATTTTTCCGCTACCTCTATATTTATGCTCTGCTTACATGCATTGAGCACTGTTATTACATAAAATCTTAACTATAAAATTTCCTAAATCCTATGTATACTGTTACGTTCACCATATCAAGAAAGATTAAAGAACAGAAGACTTCAACTATTTTTATATTATTATTAAGTTTAAGAAAGCTATTAGAAAGAAATAACAGGATAGTATAAACTTATCTGTCTACGACAACAATAAATAGCTTTGCTTCTTAAACAATATCTTTAACTCCTCTCCGTCCGCATAACTTACGACGATACGTCCAACAACAAATAGCCGAATATTACGAGTGTTCGTTTGCGTTCGTATTACACGATGCTCTTCAATAATCCTCTTCGCTCTAGCTGTCAACTGCTTATATATTGTCTGGAAGCTAATTATAAAGTATGACGTAATGTCCTTTTTATAATTATGGCATAATGCTATTTACAATAAATGACGTAATGTTTCTAAAATTAGATAGTAACTATATAATGACAATGAGTGAGCATTATAAAGCTAATTAATAAGCTGGCTTTATCTTAACGTCACAATACGCAAAATAGTTAGGACCATCAGATAATCGATTAAGTTTAGCGCGTATTAGATTTACGCCAATGATAGGTTTGCATAAACTTGATGGCTTTAATATTATGCTATCGTGTGGTCATGCCTGTTTATAAAGAACAGTAAGGCCTTCGTGAATCGTGTTTGTGTGAAATTATTCAATTTGCTGTGTTTTTTTTTGTGAATCAAACTAGCCATTTTATGTTTCACACGCAAGTGGTAGTGTAATAGATAAATAAAAACAAGAAAAGCTTCTTCGCGTTTCCTACCTACATGGAAATACTTTTGTTTTCAACATTGCATGGACACGTATGTTTTTCATAACAAACGTACGTTTTTCAGTCTATATGTATACAAATATGGAGTAGGTACTACAAAGGCTTTATTTATAATCTTGAGTTTTGCACGTTCGTTGGGCATTTATAGTAGAAGCAGGCGACAGAGCTTAAACTTACCGTCGTGTGATCCTTTTAAGAATATCATTATTTTCAGCTTCAAACGTAATCTCTAAACGTGTTAAGAAGGCTTTGATTCTGGCTTGTCATTTGTTTAACGTGATAACGAGGCTGATTTAGAAGAACGTTTTAAAAGTCTGGAAAGAAAGTTTTCGGGCTGTGTAAATGCATTAATAACTACTCAGAGTATGAAAGTATGTACATAGTTTTATTTGAAGATGATCACATGACTATTAAAAAAAATTGCTCGATACTTGCTTTACTTTGCCAATTTTCAGTTCTAAAAGCAACTGCTAGTTTGAAATAATGTTATATTACTCACAAAAAGTTCAAATGTAGAAGAATTAACAAGTTCGTATTTAGACTTTTTTAGTAACGGAACTAAGTTGCTTCTATGCAAAACAAAATTGATTTGCAACAGTGGCAGCTGTCTGTCGTTGTAAACTGCACATATATTCTTACAGCTATTGTGTAGCTGAAAATGCCTTCGTAAAGAAACTTAGATGTCTACGAAATGTCTAACGTAAACTGTCCGTTGTCTGTATTCAGTGCTGTAAGTAATGCATTTGTAATGAATAAAAACTCTAATTATAATCACCACGGACGCATCCGCACTTGTGACAGAAGATATTATTGAGCTTCCGGAGCTTTGCCTCACCTCGACTTGCTACCAATAAAACGATGGGCAGAACAAAAATGCATTAATGTTTTTAAGATAAGAATTGGCAATATGTTAAAGCATATCCCGGCTTCGTAAAAAAATAACAAATTACAAAATAATTTACAAGAATTATTTTACACAATTTAAATTAATTTCTTTACGATTAAAGTTTTTCTGTATTCTTGGGTTGCAAGTTACGTCATAGTCGCTATGTTGGATGATTTTAACAAAAGATTTTCCTTATTTACAGTGCAAATTTCACCCAACATGGCGAGAATTCCATTGTTCTCTGAAAATGGTGAGTCATTTGACTCTGAAAACGACTACCGCTAAGGTTGTCGAAACGTCAGTCAACAACAACAAAAACAGTCCTTCTCAGGACTTTATTAACCTGGACGATCATCATTTACAAACATGTAACGATACTCTCGGGTTCAAACCATTTACTTTATTAAGAATTATGATTGCAGAATAATAAAATGTACGTAATATCTTATAATATAATATCTGAATTTGTTCTGAAACTTCGTCTTGCGATGGCCACCTGCTAAATGATTTGTTTGTGCAGTAACTATTATGCTATCCCCTGTGCACGTGAATCACATTATGTGCATGTGAACAGAATACAATGCAATTAACCTTGAACTAAATGAACTTAGCACGCCGACTGTTTTGAGTAAATAAGCTGAATAGTAACGAACTTCCCCAGTACTTTTCTATATGTTAACAGAGTTGTTCTACCCTCTTTCTGTTCCTCCATGATTAACATATTTCCTATTTACATTTAAAACTACAAAATAACTCGCGGATACAATAAAATTATTATTCGCTTATGCAAATAACTCCTTTACGACGACAGACAGATGCCTCTGTTGCAAATTCATTTTATTTTGCATTTGCAATTTAGCTCCATTACAAAAAAAGTCTAAATACGTACACATTTATTCTTGTAAATTTGAACTTTTTTTGAGTAATAGAGCATTATTTTAATTTAAGAATTCCTTTCAGAACGTGAAAATTGGCAAAATAAAGGAAGTATCGAGCAATTTTATGTACTAGCCACGTGATCAATCTTCCAAACAAAGTGAAAAATCTGTATTTCTTATTTCGCAGATATAAATACTTTCATACTTTGAATAGCTATAATTGCATTTACACAGCCCGAAAATGTTTTTCCAGGCTATAAAACGTTTTTTAACTCAGTCGCGTTATCAAGTTGAAGAAACGAAATGCCACAATCAAAGCTTCCTTAACATGTTTTAAAATTATATTTAAAAATTACATATCATATTCGTACAAAGGATCACAGGTCGGTATTATAAGCTCTGTTTCGTGCTTCTATTATAAATGTCCATCGAGCATGTTTTTTCAGAACCTACAGACTGGCTAATAATTTCATCTTCAATGTTTATTTATGTAGATATAGTGGAATCTTGTTTAGCTTATATTGACTGACGTGGACTCCACTAACTTCATCGATTTACATCAGCAAACATGTAATCCTACTTCAGGGTTCCATGCGTTGTCTTTTCTTCAGCTTTTGTGTTTAATTTAAGGTGTGTTGCTTATTTTAGAGGAGCGAAACGGTGTCAGCGTTACTGATCCAAATAGAAAAGATGATTCGGTTAAAGAAATTAAGTGTGACGTCGAGTTTGATGAAGATGATGACGACGATGTTGTGGACTTGAGAGCGTTTAGTACGTCAGATAAAGTCATTTATTTGGATTTGTATGAGCTACCGCCACAACCCAGACTTGTCAAAAACTGGCATATACAACGAAGTAAGTGTCAATGAATATTTTGCAGTTACAATTTGTACGATTTTTAGATGAAATTGAATGGTGCTCTTCTTAAAGCAGATCCGTCCGTGTGGTAAAATTTTACGAAAAAATTATTCATATTTTAGAGTTAAAGACTTAAAAAACACGTCAGATGTTAGAAAATAGTACAATAAGAATAGCTGTAGTAATATGCGCACCCGCTTCTTGCTACAAAATTTTAATGTATGACAACAACTACAAATTGCACACAAAATGTGGGGTTTTGCAAAGCAGTTTTTACTTTTTTCGTAAAAACTTTATAATCGCATTGTTTTTCCCATAAGTTTCGACAGCTTGTCGCAATGGATTTTGTAGCGAAGAAAGTGATATTTTTAAGTGAATTGGCAGTCCTTCGTGAAGTTATGGCGCCAGCAGCGAAGTCTAAAAAGACAACTGGGAATCCACACTCAGACTTGCCCAGTGAAATCGTTGCTGATTTCAGTAACCCAGAGGATACCTCAACCGCCATTAATGATATGCTAACTGAAATCGTAAAAAAACTAAAAGAAAAGCTTTGGATCTATCCGCGCCAAGAAAATTGTGCTAAGCTCGCAGTGCCAAAGGTCAATCCTAAAATATCGAACGGCCTCTAGGCAAGACCTTCAGATAGTTAGCATACAAAAGGCTCTTGTTAAAGCAAGCACAGCCCTCGCAAATTCAGCTGAGTTATTGCTCAAACCTAATTCAGGTACAAGTGATTTGAATACAGGTAATCTGCTAGTTATAAATACTGATGCTCTGGCATTGCTTGGTCATGCTACCCATCAATTGTCTATGCATTGGAGACAAGCTATAAAACCTTTTTAAACAAGGAATTCTCATTTCTATGCTCAACACAGGGACCAGTCACTTGGTGTCAGGAGCACATATAGAATTCTCTTGACCCCCTGTGCAAACAAAATTGCCTGGAGAGAATCTATTTAGTTGCAATGATAAAATTCTCATCAATTCTGAAATCAACAATCTACTTGCTAAACGTGTTATTGTCCCTTCTATTTCTGAGTCTGGGGAGTTTATTTCACTCATCTTCCTTACTTCTAAGAAAGATGGATCGTATCGTATGATTCTAAACCTAAAGTTGTGTAATGAGCATGTCACTTACCACCATTTCAAAATGCATACTTTGCAACCTGCCATTAGCATGATGAAACCGCATTGTTATATGGCTTCAGTTGTTTTAAAAGATGCCTATTGCTCGGTACTTATCTCCCCAGATCACCAAAAGTACCTCAAGTTTCGTTGGCAAGGACGTTGATACACTTTTGTTTACTTTCCAAATGGGCTTGTATGTTGCTTTCGTATGTTTACTAAATTGCTTAAACCGGTCTACGCTTCTTTGAGACAACAAGGTCATGAGTCATCAGGGTACATAGATGACTCGTATTTTATGACCTTATCCCAATCTAGTATTGATGATCTACAATGGTGAGTGGCTTCTATCTCCAGTACATATAATGTAGTATCCCACAGCAAGTATAATACGGTTATATAAACCGATACCTCAACCACTGGTTGGGGTGGGTTGTTGGAAGACACAAGCACAGGGGGCAGTGGACTCCTACAGAAACTTTCTTCCACATAAACTATCCTGAAATAATAGCAGTGCTTATGACACTAAAAGCAATTTGCATTGAGGTGAATAGTAATTTTGTTCATGTGCTTATTGAGAATACGAGAGCTGTAGCTTCCTTGAATCATATGGGTACAAGCCACTCTAGAGAATGCAATATCGCTTGTAGATCAGTATGGATTGGTGTGTAAATAATAAGGTATGGCTTTCCGTTTCGCATATTCCCGGGTTAGCAAATACCCTGGCTGATAAAGAGTCGCGTAAGGCTCCAGGCTCCAGTGGGTGGGCCCTCAACTCTGCTATCCTGTCACAGGCAATACATTGTGCTCAGTTTACACCTGATATTGAGCAATTTACCTCAAGGCTCAACTATAAATTCAAGCTTTTTGTGGCTTTTAATCCAGATTCGGAAACTTGTGACATTAATGTATTCAGTATATCGTGGTCATAGTATTCATTTTATGCATTTCCACCTGTTAGTAATTAGTATCCTTCCAAATGTTTTGCAAAAAATCCAAACAGACAAGACGGCAGGACTACTAGTGATTCCAAAATGGCGGACTCAGTCTTGGGAGCCCAAAGTGATGAGAATGTTACTCCAAGAGCCAATTCAGCAGCCAGTGGCAAAGCGTTTGTTGACTCAACCTAGCCAACCAAGCTGTGTTCATCTACTATATCCAAAGCTGGTTCTACTTCTATGTTAATTCTCTAGGGGAATTCCCCATGACCGTGAACTTTCAGGCCTGGCAGCCAAATTGGTCCTGCAGTCTTGGAGAGAAAGTACACAAAAGCAATACGACTCGTATATCAAACGATGGCTCCTATACTGTGGTAAAAAGCAATTTCATCGAATTTCAGTAGCTGTAGAGAGTGGAGTGAATTTTTTGGCAGAATTGTTCAGATACCAGTGAACAATTCTGAACGAAACTTATCTTAAGTTGAAGTTTGATGTGGATTCTACGAAACCATTGGTCGGGAACTAAGGAGGCTAAGAGGTAAGCTCCGTTTAATTTTTAAATTTTGCATGTATATATATATATATTTATTTTTGAAACAAATTTGCTGCTGGAAATTTTTCTACTAAAAAATTTGTTTAAAATGATAGAAAAACGATCCAGCAGAAAAATGTCGAAATGAATATGAAACTTGTTTCATACTATTCCTACAATAGGTCTGCAAAATCACAAATACTTTACAACGTGGTGGCGTCCTAGACCCAGATCTCTCGCAAAAATTTCACGACATCTTAGACAAAACGTCGTGTTTGCTATATCACTCTAATACCATGTTAGGATTTCTCAAAACAATACACTGTACCAACATCAAAAAATCGAAACAAGACTTACAGAACATACAAACGAAATTGAACGACGATACCCAAACTCACTACCAGCAGAACATACTTACGTAAATAACCCCACATTCGAATTGACAAAAACTACAGGACTCGGATGCGCACAAACAAAAATTCACCCGCTGTTCATGCAGTAAATGCATCAACCTAATGAACAGACATGTATTAACCTATTGATCATTATTTCACAACTAAAGAAAAAGGATAAAAAAACTATTAACGAGACCAAGACTATAAAAGCACACTCCAATAATACTAACACCAACCTATTCACAATACACACGGACCTATACCATTGCATTCCACATCACCCAATCATCTTAATCAATCCATTAATCCAATTAGATACTCTAAACGTTCACAAAGCCAAAGCAATTATAAATAGCTAATAACTTCCCATATTCTGAAGAAGGCTCGAAGCACTGAGTCGAAAACTCAATAAATCATTTATAAAAACCCGCAGAAACTCTTATTAGCAGAAAATATGCCTGGATTATATATATTCAAGCTTATGTAACGTATGTAACCATGTGCCCTCGCGGCTAAGGCTATCACCATAGTGCAAATGATGACTCCTGCATTTTGGACACGGGATGTGAGGTTACACGTGGTTTTAACTGTTTTGTGGAGTTATTAATAGTGTTCAAACCTATCAGGAAGAGTTGAAACTGTAATACGTAAAGAAGATCAACAACATGGCCAGACGTTTAAAAAGTAATTGTGAAGACGCTCTCGAAGCTATTTGCGTTAAAAATCTCTAATTGGCACTGTGGAAGAAGAAAATAAACTTGTGCAGCTGCTTGATCTTGCCAACTGTGCGAAGCTGTTAACTCATCTTCAAAAGAAAGCAATACTTGTGAACGGTTTATACCAACCAATACTAAATTATGTCCCTAAAACAGTAACACAGTAACATTTCACAAAGCAATTAAAGTATGTTTCCATCACTTTGGAACAAAGAATATCGTCGCTTAGAGTACATTATAAAGAAAGGTATGCATCCTGTTTAGTTTGTGCCATTTCTTGAGTAGACCTGGAAAAAAGAAAGCGTCGGATGCCTGGGTAACTAGGTTTCGTTCATGGGATAGGATAAGATGTGTGAGTGAAGATATAAGAAAGGAAAAATGGAACCATATTACTTTTGAATCCCACAAAATTGCTTTAAATGATCTGGATTATTTAGCCTGCAAGTTGAAATGCGTTGATGTGATGTTGGAAAAAAAGTTACGAGTTGTCTGAATACAAGAAGAAGAAAGCAATTTGCTAACCAAGAAGCCGTTAAATCCTTTTAGGTGTTGCAAGCACATCTAGCAAGACAACAACTAGCTTTCAGAGGGCATGATAGAAAACAGGATTGGATTTCATCCAAATAACAAATATTCTTGCCAAGCATAACATTTGACTTCAGTCATTTCTGTCAGATTAAAACATGAAACAGTAAAATGAAGATTTTGTCGTGGTGATAAACAGAGAAATCAATTTAAAAAGAGCAAATACCATGATGAATGGTCAAAATAGTAACATAATAGTTCTTAAAAGAATCGAGTAAAATCAGAACACTGACCCAAAAATTCTAAAAAAGAACATCTGAAAAAGCTAATTGCTTGTTTAACTTTCGTTCAGAGGTGTAATTTAATGCAGGGTGAAAAGAGCCACGTTTTTGTAGAAATAATTTGCGATATTTATTGTTACGAAAGAAAGAAAAAGTATCATCCACGTAACGTTTATACCAAAGCACATCTGGAGTTTTTAAAGAGGCAAGCATTGTACATTCATAATAGCCTTAGAAAATATAAGAACCGGTCCAAGTTGTTAACCCATAGCCACCCCACTGTTTGTTCATACATGGTGTCACTAAATCTAAACTCCACACCCTTTGTGGCAGCTAAGAGGGCTGATGTTAGCTGCCAGAAAGGGTACTAACGCAATGCCCAATTCTTAACAAGCATTCATTGGAAAACAACTTTCTTTGGTTTGTACACACGCTTTGACTCTTTCCCCTCGCACAGAGAAAAGATTTCTCTAGAGATGTGTGTT